CCTTCACAGCCTGTCCCGCGCATTTCCCTCTTCACTCCAGGCGGGGGGACCTCGGACAGCTCCCCAGGCCTGGCCGGCCAGCACAGGCGGGGATGTCCAGCGGGGTCCTTGGCCGAGCGCTTGGCCTCTCGGGAGGGCGTTGCCTGGGCACCTCCGGCCGAGCCTCTCAGGAGCTTCCTCTTCTCCGCTTGCCTTTCAGTCAAGAAGCGGCTGGAGGAGGTCCGAGTGTCCGGCGAGAACCTCCAGAAGGAGGTCAGCAACCTCTACGACGTGGCGCTCCTCCGCCTGCCGGTGGCCGTGCGGGAGATGAACTGGCTCAGCTACCTGGGTACCCCCCCCCTTCGGCTTCCCCTCCTCTCTGGGCTCCCCTGGAGGCGCCCCTCCTGCAGACCTTTGGGGCGCCCCTTCGGGGGGGGCGTCTGGCTAATATGTGGCTGGTGTGCTCATTGTGGAGTCCCTGAGCAGGGTCCCTGGGGCAAGGGGGGGGCTTTCTGAGCTGTCTGGTGTCACACGCTTCTTGCAAAGCCCCCCCACCAGCTCTTGCAACATATCTGTTCCAGGATGCCTCTCAGACACACAAACGCAGGCAAGGAGTGGTCAGACCTCTTGGCCCCATGGCTGCTGTGGGTCTGCCCTGCAAGGTCCCTTCACGGTGGCCTTGGGTCTCCCCCAGCATTCTCTCCTCTGAGCCCTAGGCAGGCCAGGCCCTCCCCTGCCTCTAAAACCAGATCAGGTTGGGGAGGGGGATTCAGGCTTCCAGGGTGGTGGGTCCCTGGCCTCCCCTTGGGTTCAAGGGAAGGGGGTGTCACGGAGGGGAGGACGCGGACGCTCACCCTTGGTGTCCTCCGTGGCTGCTGCCTCCGAAGTCAGTCCCCTTGTGCAGAGACTTTTCATTCAGCGCTTCTCGCATAGCCCCCCCTCCGGCTGTCCCCTTGTGCAGAGACTTTTCATTCAGCCTCCTTTCCCCGATGGAAAGAGGCCTTCCACCTTGTCTTCACCGGCACGCGCTGCTCTGGGGTGGCCCGATTTTCTTACTGTACGCCGGACGAGAGTAAGAGGCTTGGACTCTTGTGAAAGGGGAGAGGTTGTCTGTTGTCTCCCCGTTGGTTCGGCCGAGGGGGTTCGAATCCGGCTCCTCTCCCGTGGCTTTGCGTTGTGCCTTTTCTGATCCGGGCCCTTCGTCTCCCCAGCTCTAGGAGGAAGCGAGAAGGCCCTGGAGAAGGTCGCCTTGGTAGGTCCCCTTCCTTCCTCCCTCTCGGCTCAGGCTGCCCGGCGGGAGGGGAAGGGGGCGGCGGTCCAGCCCTTGGTGGGGGGGAGGCCGCAGCCGGACGGGGCCCGAGGGAGCCTCCCCTCGCTCTCCCACCGGAGCAGGGCCCTCCTCTCATGGGCTCTCCTTCCCTCTCGGTCCCAGGGAGGCTTGGACATTGCGGAGATCACCCAGCTGGCCTCGGCAGCCATCCAGACCCCCATCAAGACGGTCAAGAAAGGTGAGCGGGGGGCCCTGGCGGCACCTCGGGGGGGGACACACGCGCTTTCCCCTCCTCCTGAGGCTCTTCTTTGTCTCTCCCAGCCAAGAAGCTCAAGCAGCCGGTGGAGACCATCGAGGAAGAGCCGGAGGGGCCCATCCTGCCCGCAGGGAAGCGGTCCAGGCAGGGGAAGGAGGCGGCGACGACAGCGGCCTCGGAGCCCGACCCGGAGGCATCGCACCAGAAACTGGGCAAGGCAAGGCCTCTGTTGGGCGAAGGGGGGTGGATCGGGGGTTGCCCGCGGGCAGACGTGGCCGGCTCTGCTCCCGGTGGGTGAAGAGGCCTGGCTGAGCACCGGCTTCTCCCCCACCCGCCCCTTCCCCTCCGTCAGTGGCCCCTCTGCGAAAGGAGCCCCCCTCGGCTCTCCCGGACGGGCGGGGCATCGAGGCGTCCAGGCGTTGGGGCTGAGGAGCTCCCCTCAACCCGGGCCTTTGGCCTCCGGTTGTTCCTCAACACATGGGGGTCATAGAGGGCAGCCGGAGGACTCCGGGCTGCCTCCCCTCTGGGCGCGGCCGGGTGCCCCTTGCCGAGAAGGGATGCCGCCTCTCCCGCCTGCGGAAGCGGGCAGCCAGCCGGGCAGGCTCTTTGGGCTCCTTGGGGAAGGATCCGGCCAACCAAGGCAAGGCGGCCTAAGTGGGTGTGGGTGTCTTCCAGGTGAAGCGATCGAGCAGGCCGCCCCCCTCTTCGAAGAGGACCAGGCCCCCTTCCGCCAGGTCTGCCCGTCTCAGTAAAAGGTAGATGGGGCCGGGGGGGGGGAAAGGAGGCGCTTTGGACCCCAGTCCTTGGAGCCACTGCTTCCTGTCTGACGGGCAGACCCCCCCTCGAGCGGACTGTCCGAGCAAAAGGAAGAGAGGTTGCTGGGGGA